CAAAATGAATTCCAATTACAAATTTCAACCGAATATTAGACGAAATTTTAAACAGCTTACAATCGTATCGGATTGTTTTCCAAAACTATAAAAATTTAGGAAGAAAAACGGGAAATTTTAGCAAACAAACTTGTTCGAAAAATTAAAAATTTTGATATTAATTTCTTAAATCAAGTTAGTGAAATTAAGAGAATATTTATGTCATGATATAATTTTGGAGGACGTTTTAATGAACTAAGCGTTTCTATTAAGCGAATCGCTCTTATAACTAGGTAATAATAATAACTAGTTTAGTAGCTTTATCTTCTGATATTTCAACTTTGCCTGTTTTACTATTTTTAAATACATCAGGTTGTACTAATGATAAATAGTACGATATAATTTTATTCAAATGAGAAAATTTTCTTTAGAAACAGAAGATATTTCTTGGCGAAATATGACTATGTTAGCAAGAGAAAATTTTCTCACGCTATTTGCTGAAGAAACTATTTATTATTCATTGAAAACACTTTGGGTTGAAGACATTTTTAATCCCATTGCATTTCAAAAGCAAATTATTTTCTTAAAGCACCTCCCTGTTGGCTTCACACGAATGCAAAGTAATCATTTGGTAAGACAATATTTTGGTGAGTTATTAGGAAGATTCAACTCTAAATAATTAGCGACATAATCACTGATTAAAAGCATTTTCATACATACTTGCAATAATTTGCTTAATTTTGCAACAAGTTTATATAAAATTGATCATTAAATCATCAAGAATATTTTAAGTTCTAATTATTTTATAATATGTGACATTATAGATTGTAATTTGTTTTTCTTTGAACAAAAAAAAAAAAAATTCAAATTTAACATGATAAATATCAAATCCTTTTAATATCCTTTCAAAATTTTTTAACAAAACCAAAAAATAATCAAAAAAAAAAACATGAAAAATAAAAAATTCAACAAAAAATTTCTTTTCTTTTATATAAAGAAAATGGAAAATTTACAGAAGAGAACAAAAAAAATCACATATTTATAGGCATATTAAAACTGTAAAACTGTAAATGTAAGTGTTTACATACGTACACATTCCTTTGATTCTATTCTTTCGTCTATTTTCACAAAAAAAATAGAAAAACAAAAAATAAGAAAAATATTAAAACAAAAAAACTGACAAATAAAATGAAAATGCCTACCCCATTAAATAGAAGAGACAAACAAATCAATGTCAACATTTTTTATCTCATTTTTATTCCCACCACTTTTTTTCGTTTTTGTTTTTGCTTTTGCTCCTCAATTTTTTATTTGCATTTCTTATGATTATTTTCCTTCGGAATACAATATCCTTAGGGAAGATTGTCAACTTTAATATGCTATTTATCAAAAAAAGAGAAAAAAAAGAGAGAATTTTTTTCTCTTTTTGTATTTAAAATATACAAAACTCCGTTACATAATAAAAATGTTAAAAAAACATACTCACAAATATAACAACGTTCATTGTTTTTTTGGGTTTTCTTTGAATTGAATATAAAAATGACGAATAGGCAAAATAGAGAGAGAGAGAGAGAAAGAGGAAGAGAGTGTATAAGTGACAGAAAGCAGCTGAAAATTTTGTTCATTTCTAAGGAAAATTTTTGTAAATGAGAAAGGGTAGATGTCAAAAGTCGTCTATTATTAATATTTTTGTATACATAATAGGATGAAAACTCTTTGAAATCATCAAGTCTAAAAGTATAATAAATGAAATTTATTGTATTTTAATGAAACAAAAAATATTTGAACAGATTCAGATTTTATTCAAATTTATGGCAGACAAATTCCGAAACTCATAGATTTATTTTAATTTTAAGTAGAGCAGGTAGAGAACTAAACTCTATTGATAATATTTAGAAAAATTAATATTAATTAACCATCTTCTACCAGAAGCATTAAGCCCTTATGTATGGAGCAAATTTTGACTCTTTTCGAATCTGAGTTGCAATTTAACTTCCCTGTTCTAAGCTACAGGTCTCAGTCTCCATTATGTTCATTCTCTTCAGTAGGAAGTATTTCCAATATGAGTATATCATCTATTTGTCCTAAATGTTCGTTGAATACAACGCGATCTTCCCGTTTTGTTTTTTCATCATATAAGGCGATCTGCATTCCAGTATGGCTCATTTTATATGTACCTATACGTTATGATTTTATGATTCCTATCTTCAAGTACAACTGTCACGAGAAACGCTAAGAAGCGTTATAAAGTGTCCTGAAAGGTTTCAATTACCGCCTGTTACAGTTTTGCAGTTTTATTGTTATTGCTTTGCGTTACGCCTAGCTTTGCAGTGTTTTTGTAGTGAAAAATTGAGGTTTTATGTCACATTTTCATGATTTTTCTTCTATAAACGAATCGCAACTGGAAAATCGAAAAAGGGAGCAGTTAATTATGACGAAGGGAACTAATTTTTTATTTGGGCTTACTGAGATTATATTGTAATTGTTACAATGTTACTCCTATACTTAAGATTAACACTGAAGAAATATTCTTAATAAATTTCATGTTATTTTTTTTGGAAGAAACTACAAAATTTCTCTTGAGTGCTTGTAAAAACTTAACACCTTATATAACATATTAAGTTCAAGTTGACAATACTTTATGAACACAATTCTATACGATTACAAAGAAACTATAAAATTAAAGAAAATACATGACGTATAGAGTTGAAAATTCAAAGTAAAATTAAAAACATACAAACGCAAAAAAACATTAAGAACAACAAAAGAAAATTTTGTTAACAATAAACGTAAAAATTAACAAGAAAAAGAAAACATAAAAATACGAAAAAAATACAAAAGAAAAACCAAACATCAAGGACTATTTTGTACAAGTATGTACAAATAAAAAAGAAAAACAAAACAAGAAATTCAACAGTAAAATATCCTTAAGGCAATAAAGAAATGAAAATAAAATAGACATTTTTAATTCTTGTTAATTCTTTATGACTTTTTTCCCGTGATTATAATTTTTACTTTCATATTCCACCTTAAGGATATTATTTCTAATTACATAATATCCTTTCTAATGAAAAGAAAATTTTTTTTTTTCTTTTTCTCATTTCGTTTCACTATTATTTATTCATTTCTCCTTCGTCATTTTCTTCTTCTTTATTTTTCTGCTTTTACACTCAATTTTCATATTACCGTATGTGTAATCAACTCATTCGCTCTGGTATTCTAAATAAACATTATGCATGAAATATGGAATTATTCTGTTTAAAATATGCGCTTTCAAAAAATTCCATATACATAATATGTTAAGTATGTGTATTTATGTCATCATACTTGAAATTTATATGGATTATATTCAGGGTGATTCTATATAAAGGGCAGCATATTATTGTATACCATTGTTTAAATTCAGAGAGTCAATAATGACAATACCAATTATCAATATTCTGCTCAGTTACGTGTATTTTAAGTTATTTTTAAAAAATGTGTTCCTCTGCACAATATTCTGGCTGTAAAAACAGAAATGGCTTCAGAATATCCAAGATTACAATAATAATTACAACATATGTATTAGAACTTTCTATTAAAACTCCATGGTTTGACCCAATATTATGTACGTACATATCAGAACTTCGAAAAGCGATCTTAAGTGGTAGTTCCCTTTGCCTCAAGCCTCAGTTTCCTCAGTTAAATTGTTTACTTTGTTATTAAATTGGTAAAAATGCTTTCTCTAAATACTAAAAAAAAAAAATTTTAATTCAGAATTGAAAAGAGTTGTAGCAACATTTTTATAAAGTGTTTCTCGAGGCTTGGAAAGCAGAAATATTGGTTTTATATAACTATTACGAATTCTAAAACAATTAGGACAGAAACGAAAAGATTCAGTTTTTTATTAAGACTAAAAAATTTAAAAAAGGCTAATTAGGGCCATCAACTTAAAATCTCGTATAATATTGTAAACACTTTCGGAATGCAAATCTATTGCATATTCCAAAAATGTGATTCTGTTATTTTTTCTATTGTTTTTTCAACAGTGCCAACAGTTTCAAGAAAATAAAGAAAATTTTTCTAAAATTTTTCAATATTTTTCTTTAAAAGGGTCTGGCCGCGTTGTTTCAATTTTAATTTGATATTAAATTTGAAAATATATTTTATAGTTCAAAATTTTACCACCATTCTGATTTTCTGTTCAATTTTCAAATTCTCGCTTCAAATTCCAATTAAAAATAGCTACAAATAAATTAATTTCAAAATAAAATTAACCTTGATACCTTCAAATAAACTTAAACAGCAATTGAGAAAACAACAATCGTGACGCCTACTTCTAAAGAACATTTTGACACATTTCCCTTATTTGCCCTTTAACGGTATCATTAAACATTTTGCCGGTAATCACCCGGTATATTCATATATATTTCTAAAAATATCGTTGTTATACAATAATATTCTATTATATAAGGCAAAATTTAATTTATACCATGTAATATAAAATAACGAAGCATGCATAACTGTGCCTATAAAACACCTGTTAATTGGTCATGTAAATATTCTTCTATACTCGTATATGTATATTATTATTGTACATTGAAGCTATATGATGTACCAGAAATATTATTAATTGAATAAAATGAACATAAAGCAAATATGTATATAATAAAATTTACAATACACAGCTGTACATAAAATGTACATAATTTATAATTAAAATATTGTAAAAGAAAATTGAAGAATAATTAACATATATATGAAATATGCATGAATCTATGTATGTATGTATTGAAAGAACCTTAAAATTGTATTCTATAATATACGAGTATACATGTACATTTTATACATAATATACAAGTAAAACACAATTATGTTGTTATATTGTTTGTATAACATAATTATGCATGTAGCTTTCATATATATTATGTAAGTATATTTAGACCTATATATTATGTAAGTATTTAAGTTTAAGGCTATACATTTTATGTATAATCTATACAAGTATATTAAAATTATTATTAATTAATATTTTTGTTTACCTTATATGTTCCTAAATTTTTGACAGAACATGCCAATTTAACATTTCTACCTGCTGGCACTGTTATATTTTCAATAATATCAGTAAATTCTGGATCTTCTGTTATAGCTGTAAAAAAGAAACAAAAACAAAAGAGTTGTTAATGATTTTTTTTTTTATAATTAATAAGAAAATTTTGTATAATAAAACTGAGTTATATTCACATACACAAGGTTAATATGAATGGCAAGTGATAATATAATGTTGACTCTTATTATATGAACGAGAATAAAATGTTTAACAAAATGAAATATTTGTTTTCTGTATTCTGAGACCTGAGTTTACAAAGGTATGCTTCATCGTTTGGAGCCTGTTTTAATTTCGGACGGATCAATGCCAGGATTGGAGTATAGTTGCAATACAATTTGTGCAACTCTTTACATTAAAAATAGAGAAATTCACATAATAGTTGATACAGCTACAAAAAAGGAAATGGTTACCGCATTCTAGGGGAAATCTTGTTCAAAAATTCTGGCCGAATCTTGTTTTGGGAAGATCTGTGCTTTGTAAAATGTCAAAACTGTATGGTATAATTGTCGAATTCAATACTGCCTTTGTTTGCAAATATTTTTTAAAAAACAATTCATGTAATATTATACCAATAAAGTGCAATCTCATACAAATTGCAATATTCTCATACAAGAAATAAAATCAATAATTTCATACGAGTATAACAGTATTCTGAAGGTTGACTCTTCCAATACTAGTTTGAATTTATTCAGAAAATTTTCTGCATTAAGATGAGGTTTTTTATTGTTTTTCGCTTCAAATTATTTCAAAATTTAATATTAATTTAAATTATGTGTAATTATATTGTTATATTGTGGAAATAATTCATTCTAATTATAGATTTTGATCTTACAACATTTTTTATATTAGCGAGGGGTAATCATTTATCAGACAAAATTTAATAGAAATTTTTTATTTTAAAAAATATAAAAGAAAAATTTAATTAGAATGTTATTTTAACAATTTTAATAATTAATTATATTGTTATTCAAATATTAAGTCGAAAACAATAATAATTATTATTATTAATCAGTTCAATTATAAAATTTATTAAATGAAATATAAAATAAATTATTTAATAAAAAAATATTTCATTAGAAAATTATCATTTGAAAAATTTATCATTATTGTTATGCATTTAAATTAAAATTTCATTGAAAATATTTCAATAAATCACAAATTTTATATGCTTATTAACTTATACATTCCACTTTTATTCATTAAATATTGTTAAATCTTTGGCCTTTTATAATATACATCAAAAGGTAATTATTAGGTTGATCAGGATTGTCCGGATAACACTGTTGCATGATATCTTAGCCACTTAATTATATTGTAATACATTTACTAAATACTATTCAAAGATATTGTTCATTAAAATTATCCAACATAATTATAAATGGGCTTTCACTTTTTAAGTATGTAAATAATTTGTGTGAATTAGTGTAAGAGGTGAAAATGGGAAATATTATTCACATTAGGTCAAAGTATGTAGCTTTTATTTCAATTCATTTCAAATTTTGGATTTAACGAAAAAAATTGCATATGTTTAGGCGAAGTATGAATTTTATTTTCATTAAATTATTTACAATATTATTCTTATTAGAATATTAGAACAAAATTTCAACATAAATTATAATGGGAATTTGCAGTAAATAAAATATTTATAAGAATATTAACAATGATTTTGAAAATTTTCGAAAATATAGGATGTTATGGATCTATTTTATTGTAATTAAAGACAATAGAACTCTGATATGTTCAATACAATAATTACGATTCGTGATTATCACTTTTAATAATTTGCAGTTTGAAAAATTAAAAATCTTTATAACATTTTAATATTTAAAAATTTCACATGCAAATTAAAGAAATTAAATTGTTAATACAAAAAAACCATTTGCTTCTAATAGCTAATATGAAATATTAAAAGTTGAAATCAAAAATTTTGTTAGGATATTATGGTATAACAACTGACCCAAACAAATCAAATTAAAAATAATCCAATAAAATTTCAATTTTCATTCATATAAGAGAAATAACATTTTTTTGTATATAAGAATTAAAAATTTTAAAAAGGAGATTAATTTCAATTAATAATAGTTTGTTTTTTCATTTCTTTTGCTTCCCCAAAATTTATTAAATACAGAAAACTCTTAGGTTTTTTTTTCGCTTTGATTTTTTAATAATGTTTTCTATAGTACAGGATCTACAATTACTCAATCACCAGTTAGAAAATCTCGTTTTCTCAACTACTGATTGCCGTATTGTTGTTGAATAATTGCTGTTTAAATTCTTGTACACAGAAATTTTTAAATGAGTAATTATTATATGAGAATTTTAAATTTGTGTATATGTAAGTTATTGCTTCGCTACAAATAAAAATTATGTTTCGGTCTTATTTAATATCTTATCCTACTTAGAGGTAGATTTACGAGTATGCAAACATAAATAAATTTTTTAAATAGCAACATTAATGTTGGTATGACTTGAATTTTGAACTTATTTCTTTAAATATTCTTAATTATGCTCTTATTGAAAAACACAATTTACAAATCATACACAAGTTCTTGAAATCAGTTTAGATTCACTAATTTGTTGAACTTGGTTAATATTAAGATTTATACATTTCGTTATTCTTTAAAGTTTCAAGACTCTTTGAAATACAAATTTCTCGAGAAAACATTTAATTTGGCAAGATTTTCTATTAGAATACCTCTTGCATTTTTCATGAATAAATCCTGTACAATTTAGATTAATCTTTTTTTTTTTAATATTTTCATTTATTCAATTTTTAAATCTTAAAATTATTATAGAAGATTTTCATATTATTTATATAGAAACACCCACCATAAGGAAACTGTTAAAATATTCAGAAATTTTTGTGTTCTTTTACTCTTTTTTTTTTCGAAAAAAAAAAAATAAGAAAATCAAAATTAAAAAGTATTCCTTTAATCTTTATTAAAGCAGAAGAGAGACAACAGAGCCAAAAAACAAAACAAAAGAAAAAACAAAAAACAGATTGAAATTTTTTGTTTTACTTCTTTTTTTCTTCTCATATGACCTTAAAACCATAAAAAAATTTCCACTTTGTATTCTGTCTTTTCAATTTAGCTCATATTATTTTCAGTTTCTAACATTTTAACAAACATCTACATCCACGTGTATACATTTATGTTCATATGTACACGAATATTATGTATATAAAGATATTGTTATACTTATGTATGAGGTAACTTGACCATTTACAACACAAATATTGTAAAGCAAGGACGACAAAATTAAAAAAACAAAAAAAAGGGAAAAAAGTAACAGAAAATTTGAGTTAGAGAAAATTGACTTATCCCAATTTTCAGAAATACAATGAAAATTCCAGTATCATAAATACATTTTTATCCTTAGTATAACAGATATATGTACTAATACATATAGACAAATTCACAGTATTTCAAAAATAATTCATAATGTAAAGTCAAAAATTTTGGCGTCAAAAGAAAGCTAAAAAAATTATTCAAAGAAAAATTTAAAGTAAGAGAGAAAATTTAAAATAAAAGAGAAATTTGATTTAAAAGAACGGTGTGGGATGTTTGCAAATACAAAATAGTCTTAGTATTTAAAGAGTAAATTCATAAATGTTTCATGGTAGATTGGGATCTTATAATTGTGACGTAATCATAGGAGTATTAATGGGGTACTTCACTAATTTTGCGGTCATATTTTTATTAATCCAGAGCTTATTTCAAAACTGGGATCCTATATAATAAAAGATTTCTTGAAATGCATTCAATTATGATCTATATATTTTTGCCAATGAGATCAGTCTATTGTCTCTGAATTTTATTAAAATTATTTGTACAATTATTGCTCATTTATTGGCCCAAATTTTTTCAACCGTTACAAAAATTATGCCATCCTTGTAGAGCTTTCCCTTCAAGTGTTATCATTATGAAGAACTCGTAAAAAAATAACAGAATTGATGCATCATATAAAGTGAAGTTCAGTATTTTAAGATAAGGAATTTATTAATTGTAATTTTAAGTGTATTATTAGAAAATCAATAATTTTAACTGTTATACAAATTATAATATTAAAACTAATTTGCGTAAAAATAAGAGAATTATTGAATATTATAATATGGAATCGGAGAAAGTAAAAATTAAAGTATTCTTTCTTGATAAAGGGCTAGTGCAGAAATCGAGTAATTTCCGAAAAAAAAAAAATATACCCAAGTCAAACATAGTATTGTATAATTTTTTGACAAATTTAATAATTTATAAAAAAATTTCCAAGCCTTTTCAACTCAATACATGAGAAATGATATTCAACTTACCTCAAATCATGCAATGACCACAAATTTTCTACAATTTTCTCCCCATTTTCTTTTAATCATTTAAAAAAGAATTTCTAATGCCTTAGAATTTTTATGAAATTAATAGAATTTTTCTATTAAATCAGAAATTGTGATATTCTATGAAATAATTAAAATTAAATTAGATACAAAACTGAACTTTTTCTTGAAAAAAACAACAAACTATCAAATGATTCCACAAAAGGCACAAATCATACAAAAAAAAAATTCTTTTCCGATACCTTTATAGTACCACTCATTCATACAATACATTCAACACTCTTATAATATCAGACAACTCCATACACTTATTCATAATCTGTATATGAAAACTGTTATACTTCCACATATTTCATTTTATTATCAATTTTTATTTGTTTATGTATGTATTCATGTGTATGCGATAGTATAGTCTAGATTATAATAATGTTGAAAGCAATTATTATCTTCTTTGTAAAAATTTTATTATGGTTTTCTATTATTTTTTTTTTATAATTTATGAGTTTTGCAACGAAGTGCTAGAAAGTTTCTATATAAAACAATTCGTACAATATAAATTCTAAACAAGTAAAAACGTTTCAGTCGGTATAAACCGATTGAATAATACCCTGCACCTTTCGTTATTGTGTAGCAATTACTCGAACCTGTTAAATCATTCTATAGAAACTTCACGGATATGTCTGACCTATAATTGGACATCCGACTGCCAAGTTTCATGAATCTGACTTTATAATTTTTCCAAATATTTAAAATTAGCTTTTGGAGTTGTATGGCAAGTACCTGAACCTGTCAAACAATTCCATCAAAACTTCACAAATATATCTGATCTACAATCGGACACACAACTGCCAAGTATCATGAATCTGACTTTATTATTTTTCCAAATATTTAAAATATGCTTTTGGAGTTGTTTGGCAAGTCCCCGAACCTGTCAAGCAATTCCACTAAAACTTCACAAATATATATGATCTATAATCGGACATCAAACTGCCAAGTTTCATGAATCTGACTTTATTATTTTTCCAAATATTTAAAATTAGCTTCTGGAGTTGTATGGCAGGTACCCGAACCTGTAAAGCAATTCCTCTAAAACTTCACAAATATATCTGATCTATAATCGGACATCAAACTGCCAAGTTTCATGAATCTGACTTTATTATTTTTCCAAATATTTAAAATTAGCTTCTGGAGTTGTATGGCAGGTACCCGAACCTGTAAAGTAATTCCTCTAAAACTTCAGAAGTATATTTGACCTATAATTGGACACATGAGTGCCAAGTTTCACGAATCTGACTGTATTATTTTGCCGAATATAAAAAATTTGCTGTTGGAGTTGTATGGCAGCCACCCGAACCGGTGCAGCTATCCCATTATAATTTTTAGAGCATGTGTAGAATATAATTGGACACATTTATACAAAGTTTTATATTTATAGCTTTATTAGTTTTTGAAATATTTAAAATAAACTCTTTGAGTTGTATGGCAGCTACCCGAACCCGTTGTCCGAATTAGTCCAATAACAATAGGGCTCGTCCTTGGCACAAAAGAAAAAACTTGTGAAAGTTTGGTGTCGATTGCATTATTCGTTTTTGAGTTATCGTGCGAACGGACGGACGGACGGACGGACAGACGGACATGTCTAAATCGACGCAGAATTTTACGCTGAGCAAGAATATATATATATGTCCATACCGCAGATGACTCCTTCAAGTAGTTACAAACTCCATACCAAAGTTGATATACCCTTCACGAAGTGCAGGGTATAAAAACAAATGTGAAAGAAAAGAAAAATCACTTATTTTTTTATTTGAACAAAATGCAAATAAAAATGAGAAAAAGAAGTGAAAAATTGTATATGAAATTTGCAATTTTTATTGCACGTCTGGGCGATTTTATTATTAGAAAAGAAAATTGAATACAAAATAAGAAAAATATCAACTAGCAATACATAGCAAATGCACAAAGAAAAAGTGAGAGAAAAAATTTCCACTTTCCGAATTTCAAATATGATTTTATTTGTATAATATGTACAAATATATTTAAACACATGTATATAAGTAAGTGCCATATAACACTACTTCATTTTCAGAATTTTGTCATCAGTAGTTTCAATGCATTCTGCTTTTAAATTAATTTTATAGAAGATTTGTTTTATTACAATTGTATTATTACAAAATTTCATAAATAATTAACAGGATGGAGCTAATGATTCTATTTTATAAGAATAATTGATATAACCTTATCCTTGAGCATATTTGAGCATATGATTTAAAGAATGGAAACAGGGCCACTTTAATTATTTTTATAAATAAGTAATTAGCAAAATTTTTGGAGAATACGGTGTCACTAAATGAACACATTGCTATAGCACTTATAATTGAATCATAGTTTTGGCTTTAAATATTATCTAAAGTATTTTTGTTGCTTAAAATCCAATTCATTAGAATTTTCTGAATTCGTTATTTAGAATTGTGATATCTAAAATAATGAAAATTGTTTTTGAATGCAATGCTTTTATAAGTATAAGCTTTTGAGTGCTACACACATGTTACGGAAATTCGATTCTCTATGACGGTTTAGAGTCTTTTGTATAGTAAAAAATAGGTTATAAGATTCTAACTTATTCGAATACTAATAAAAATTATAACATATTTTAAACTATTTTGAATTTATTATTATAGTTAATAAGAATTTCATTTAATTAACGTAATTTTAAAATACGTGCAAGTTTAGTATTCTTAAGTGATGGCAATAGTTTGAAGCACTATAAATTCAGTTCGAAACTTAGGAAAGAAACTATAAGAGAAACTTCATTTATTGATAAAATTAATGAAACGTTGTATTAAAATTTTAACAATGCTTAGTACTTAATCTGCTAAAATCAATTTCTAATACTTATGTGCAAATATTTTGATTCAGTGTGTTTCAGAAAGTTATACAGAAACGTTTACCATTAGTTAGAGGATCAAAAGTAGATAAAACCATTGTTCGGGAATCGGCATAAAACCATAACGCCTCCAAAGATACGGGGATTTTAACGAATTTTCACGGAATTTCTACTGGTAATTAATTTTTCTTTTTGCTTATAACTTTCCTTTCGAGAAAGATAGCAACTTCAAACAAACAGTTTCTGAAAGGGTTACTAACAGAACTTAAAATTAATATATTACCTTTTTTGTATTTCACGTATTTTCGAAATCACAACACTCGAATAGAAATACTCCAATTTTTTCTATTTTCTAGTTTTTTTTTTTTTTACTTTTCTTTATCCCCAAGATTTTTTTAAATTAAATTTTTTTAATTTCGTACAAGATTTTTTGAAATTTTGAAATTTTTTTTTTGCAAAATTTTGTCTAGCTATCTTAGCTTTAATCTAAGTCATTACCCAATAAAAAAAATTTTATTGTGGAGGAGATATAGCATGAAAACTATTTGTATATTATAAGATCTTGAGATTTGCCACCTACTCTGGAACAAATGTTTTATTGATTTTTGATCCTCTAAACAATGATTGCTGTATCGCTTTCAGAATCATACTAAATTTGTAGTAAAAAATTTTTTATCAATTAAATTTTTCCTTAATTAAATTCATTTAATTTTATTTTATTTACATATACATTAATACAACAACAATAATTTTCCTTCTTCTATAATATTGTCCTTCAAAATTCCTTATATGTATATCCTTTTAGAGAGACAAAGAAAATATTTCAAAGCATTGTACTCTATGTAGCTATAATACGAGTATAACCATTAACAAAAATTTCTTTTAGCTTTTAAACGCACGACAAGTAAAACATAACACATTTTATGCGTTTAGATATGCAATAATCCGAACTTTTTATCTTAACTTTTAAAGCTATGTACACATAATAATATTATGTATAGCCTAAAAGAGATTATTTTAAACTCTTTTTCTTTGAAAGAAATGAAAATTTTCATAAAATAATTGCATTGTGTTGAAAAATCGTGTAAAAAAATTATTATGGAAAATTTCGCGATATATAGAGAATTTTTTTTGCTTTGGCAAATAAAGTAATTTAACTTGCTGCGATGTCCTTGATTTTCTTTCTTTTATATACAAGTACATTAACATATACAATATACCTATATATTACAGAGATAACTTGAAAGAAATTGTATAAATTTCTGTCGCCAATATAAAGAAGCAAAATAAAAAAGCAAAATGAATTCATTTCTCTTTTTTACTTTCTCATTTTTCCCCCAAAAAAAAAAAAAAATAAAACCCATGTCAGTTTATAACCTACATACATAAATGTAATTTGTCATTTTTATTTCTATTACTTTTCATTTTCAGTTCTATGCAATTTTTATTCTATAAAAGTTTCGAATAACCAAAACCTTCATTAAAAATTTCATAGCCTCATGTCCATAGTGTTTTTAACCTTTTCTGCTTTTCACCTAACTTGCAGTATAGAAATGGAAACAAGAAGAGTGTATTCTCTTTGTAAAATGAAATTAAAAAAGATATGAAAAAAAAAACAAAAAAAATATGGGAAAAACAAAACAAAAGGATCATAAAAATAAGAAGATTTCTTGGCTTAAAAATTTTTGTTATTTTCACTTTTTCGGTTTTTGTTTTTTTTGGTTCTTTACAATAGTCTATACGGTCGTCGGATATGATTCCCTAGAGATGCAATTGGTTTAATGGTAAAAAGTGAAGAATGAAAAAAAAAAAATCGTGGTTAGTTATAAAATATGAAAAGTATAAGACCATTTCTTTTTCATCTTTTTCTTTTTTGTTATTGTAATTTTCAACAGACTGGAAATATTCTCAAAAGTCTAAAGTTTTGCAAGATTTGTATTATAGGTTAAAAATGTGAAAAAGGAAAACAAAAGCGAGAGAAAACACATAAATATATCAACAAAAAAAAAAAATATAATGAAATGGACTTGTGACTAAAGAGAAGAATTTGAATATATAAGAGAAATATAAGGTAACAGAAAAAAATTTTATTAAATGAAATTTGGAAATTTGTGAGAGAGAAAGAAGGTATCAAAGTACTTTGATTTACAATTGTATCAAATTGGTAAGGTTTCATTAGAAAATATTAAATTTTAAAAATAAAATTTTTTTTACAATTTGAAAAATTTGAAAAATATTTTTTAAAGTAGTAACTAAATGCGAACATTTTTGTGTAAGTATCCTAAAAGTATGCAATTCGGATAAAATTAAAAATATCTCGTTTGTATGCAGTTTTAAAAGAATTTGAAGGAATGAAATATTTTTTATGTGAAAATCTTACAGTACAGTAGTTATTAGAACAATTTTAATGAGAGTTGTATACTCTGCCTCTGTCTGCCTGCAGTATAATCTTTACAAGGTATGTAAACAAAAAACGTACTACTGTTTGCATACAAGTGGTTGCATTTTAGAGAAAATTAAAGAAAATTTAAATATTTTTTTTTAATACAAATGTTAAAAATCATCGAATGATGAGGATAAATGAACCCAAACCTCTCCATACTGGGAAACTTTAATCAAACTAAAATTAGTCAAACAGACTAACAATTAATTTTGTTCTATCGTGTTTTTATGTTTACATTCCTGTTTCCCATAAGCCGAGATGCCTCAAAATTTACATGCTGCTCTAAACGCGCCCTACGTTTTGTGGCGCAGTTCTTTATTTCGTCATATTATTACTTAGGGGACACACAAATCTCAATATAAAAATTAAATACACTTCACATTAATTCAAAAACTCATTACCTCTACGAATAAAAAAATTCACAATTTTATTATTATAAAAACAAAAAATTATTAATTTTCAAATTACTTTCATTGTTCAATGCTAAATACTGAAAGGATTCCATAGCATATTACAATTTATTAGCATGTTATTGAAAATCTATTTTAACATTACTTTGAAAACTTTTTATTAATCCTGTAAAAAATTTGAAAATCACATCACATAGAATAACCTTCAAAATTAAACGATATAGGGTAAATAAACGCAATGTCACTTCAGTGCCTCTGTTAAAATTTCAATATTCTACTGCATCAATTAATATTCGTTAAAAAAGCGTAACACTCAATAGAGATTTAGAGAGGAAAAATGTACAACTATTTTAATTTGTCATTTTTTCTATTTGAGTTTTTTTTTGTTTTTTTAGAAAAATCTCCACTATTTATTTTGTCTCATTTTATCCTTTTGTATATTATAGAGCACATTTTGTATTATAGATCTAGCTAATATTTTTACCATTAATAGGTAAGGCCATTGAATTCAATTGGATTTAAATAAATTTTGCATGAATGATATAGACAAGAGAATTCCGGTTACCATATAATATGGTAAATTTTAAGAGAAAAATGGGAGGAAAAAATTAAAATGAAATAAATTATGCTTTTGTATATAGAGAGGAAGAAGTTGCGTATAGCCTTTAAAGTAAAATATATTTAGAACCAATCAATGGTTTCTATAACAGCAAATTTTCAAAATAAACCGATCTTCTTTTTTAAGTTATATTCCATAAATTGTTCTAAACTCTCACGATAAGAACAAAATTAAAGTATGCTGTAAGAAATTAGTTACCTACATTTTGGGATCTTATTAGGCAGGAGATGAGGCACATTCATTTTTGTATAAATTCTCAGCTTTTTATCTAAAATGAAATAGAAATTTTGTAAAAAAAAACGCAAGAACAGACGGACAAGCACATTGTAAAATGTACTAAAAATTGTTGGAAATGTACCAAAAAAAACCAATATGACATAATCACATATACAAATTCAAATGTACTTGCGATACTCCAAGAGAAATTTTCTTATTCGATTTTCTCCTAAATTTATGCAAACTTTAAAATTCTATTCGATAAAATTTTTTATGTAGCTACATACAATAATAATATTTTTTTTGTACAACAGAAAAGTTTGTATATAAAATATTATACATGTATGTAGGTATGTACATATATGTAGAATGCTATAAAATGGCATACCTCAAGGACAAATAAAGTAATAACAGTAAAAATATTTAAAGATATCATAAAAAAATGAAAATTGTAAAAAATTATACATATATATTTTAGTATATACTATATGAGAAGATGTATGGCAGTATAAGAGAAGAGAATTTGGAGATCAAGAGAACACACGTTGTGTTTAAAATTATCAAAACAAAAACGAAAAAAAAAAATGAATAAAATTGTGTTATACACAGTAACATAGATTTTCTTTTTTTTTTTGTATATTATTAAATTCCCACTGACAAATAAAATGTTACATATATACATATGTATACACGTGTGTATTAAATTTCATCCTATATTATGTAATAAGCAATGAGACTTTAAAATAAAAAACCAAAAATGAAAAGTAAGTCTAGATACAAAAAAAAAATTTTTTTTTTTTGTATCTTAAAGTCTATTGTTGCCTGGTTTTTTATAATTTTTCTTTTTGAGCTTCTTGTATTAAAGTAAAGATTATTTTCGTTATAAAAAGTAAATCCAAAGCTAAGAATAACTAAAATATAGAGTTGCCATTGTTACCAACAACAAAGAATTTTTTTAGTTGCTTAGTGATTGTAAGTATAAAATTTTAAATTTAATCATAAATTGTAATAAATTTTGTGTGGTTTTAGTTGAATTGAACTGAGGATTTTAATGCACATAATGAATTTATACACGACAGCTTAAAATAAAAGGGCTGAAAGAGATCCAGTATGGTAACAGAGTTTAATGCAATTTTCAAAAAAGCAATATTAGACCGTGAAAAATAGAATTGAGTACAAAATCTATTCTATTATAATAAAAATATTGAATATAAAGAAAATAACACCCTTTCGAAATATAAACTCTCCCTTAAAAACTTATTGGTTTTAATCGAAAAATTTTTGGTTTTTTAAAGACAAATACCAATAGCTGTAATCAATTAAACATCAAAATTGAGAAAATATGAAGTATATAAAAAACGGAAATTATTACCTTGTACGGGGGAGAGAATGATATCTCGACTGAGCTTG